ACGAGATGGGCACGATTGCCGTAGGCCTTTGCAAGTACCCTGTGTGCTTCTAGGCTAAAGTCCCATGCAGGTCCTCTGCAGTCAGTAGAGCTACTGGACTTGACAATATTCTTGCTCTTGATCTCAAAGATAGCATCGAATGTCTGGAGGGGAGCATCAGATCTGACAATAAATGTCGGGTCGAACTTGTCGGCAGCTTCGTCAGCGAGGAGGTCGGTGGTAGACTTGGCATGCATTTGAAGTAGATTCGCAGACCAGGGACTCATCTTTGACAACACGTTGAGCTCTCGAATCGGGTCATACATGACAGGGCCAGCTTCTCGGACAGAGTCGGCACTTATCTTCGAGGATCCGAAAATGAAAGGCTTCTTGTTGAAATCAGTGGCCGAAAGGAACTGAACAGCAGCTTTGAAAAGTTCAGTGCTGCTAAGAGAGTTTGAAAGCGCTGCCTGTCCATTCCGCCCACCCATTTGAAGCAAGAGAGCAATCATGACAGACCACTCGAAATGACCGAATCCGCCTTGCGAAATGGAACTCCCGAAACCCCTCTGCTGCAGCCAGATTCTTCCCAATACACAGGCATCAGTCAGGGCAGGGCACTCGTTCTTGGCATGCGTAAGAACACGCAGGTAAGAGATGAACGTCTCCTCAGCTTTCAAAGTAGAGTTATAGAAAGGTGTTCCGGTCTGGGTCTTTTTGTCGTCGGACTCTCCACTTCGGTTGTTGTTAGAGCTGGGAAGTAGTTTTGACTTTGGGAAAAGGCCATCAGGAGCGCAAGGGATGAGTCGAATAGTATACGGGGATTTCGCAACCTTCGCCTTCTTCTTGGAAGCTTTCCCATTGGCGTCCTTGGCGTCGGTCTGATCCTCCTCGGATTTGGGTCGAAGTGCAAGTACAGGCAGAAGTGGATTCTCGTTCAGGTATTCAAAGCCGATGTCCATCGAGTCTCCAAACTCTTTCTTGACGCTGGCGGCGACGTAGGCGATGTAATATGCTCGGCGGTAAAAATATCGCATGCTTGTAAAGTCCTTCTCCTGGAACATGGTCTTGGGCATCTGAACTACCATATCGATGCCAAATTGCACCTGGGACTTGACCATGGTCTTGGCGACATAGCTACCAACGACATTGTATGAAGCTGGTTTCTCAAAAGAAAGCTTGTAGGAAGCATCTATAGCAGGCTTCGGATCGGGATAAGGAATAACTATGCGATGCTTTTTCTCAAAGCGGCTCGTGGCTTCGGTGATCTAGAAAATATGTTAGTCGTCAAGATCGGCGCCTTTGCGTATAGTACGAACAGGCTCGGGTCCGTGGGGAGTCGCAGTGTCAATGGCTTCCTTCAGTCGATGAAGATTTGCATCAACATTCTTCAATGCCTTTCCATAGTCAAGCTTTGCCTCCTTGAGCAGCTCTTCCGTTTGGAGGACAAAAGTGCTAGCGGTTGAGACTCTGGCAGAGCTGCGAGCCTCAAAATCAATGAGAGCATCGTGTCTCAGACCAGGTCCAGAGTGGTCTAGCTTGCGGCGCTTTGAACTAGACTCCATGGCGGTTTAATTATGCGCCAGATGGTGGACGGCGATTATCAACAAATTCGAGGTTCGTTGGTGTTGAAGCTGCCACTATTGACTTTGGTCCGCGCTCATGCTGTAATTTTTTTTCTGAAGCCAGGATCTGCGGGGCGATAAGGAGCTTATCGGAAACGGTACGTACTATACCACCTCTACCTAACCAGGCAGTGGAGGCATTCCAAGTCGGATCCTAGACTCTCGGATCCGAGCATCATTGATTTGCGTCAATACAGTCATCGTCTGTTCCCTTCTCACAAACGTACCTCTCCTTTCCTTCGGTTAGATCGTCGCGTATTCTCCTTTTGAGAAACTCACGCCATATCTCCCCTTCACATAAATTATGCAGCTACTACTGTAAGCACATTTCCAACCGTTCAGGCGATCACACTCAAACAACTCCTTGCTTAATTATACCCGCCAGATAGACCACGCCTTGCAGAACGCTCAGGCCAGTCCACTCTGATACGTGATACCAGCCAACTCTCTCGCCCTTCTCTTTGGTGGCCCCGCCCCCCATCTTTCACCTTCACGATCGTGATCGTCAAGCCATCAGTTCGAAGCTGAGACATGCGAGGATTCATGCTGGTTAACCACTTTCAACTATGTGTGTAAATCAAGAAACGCACTCTTCTGAGACAACTGTTTGATGACATGACCCGCGAAGGCGTGGGATTTCGGGTTGTTTACCATTCCAGTATAAAAGCTACACTGACCAAATGGAGTCAAGGCCCTGAAAATCAACCACAACTTCAGCTCAGCTCGAGACACACGCTTGTTTATGTTTATGGTGATAGACACCAGCCAGATCGAGAGACCAGCAATGCAGCGCCTACAGTAGCTCTGCTCGTCCATGCATTAGTCTTCCAGAATGAGAACCCCTACTTGCCAAAGCGACCTAGTCGCTGCAGGTTTCTTCCGCCCTTGACGTCTTTAGCCTTTTGGACCTAAACGATTGGTCTTTGACGTAACATTGTCGTGTGTTTGTTTTGTTGTGTTTGAGTGTCTTGCCTTCTCCTTGCCTTAACCTCCATACCACTTAGCCTGAGTTGGCCTGGCAAGCCCCAGATGGCACCCACGCCAGGTTCCGTGCTTCCAGTCTCGAATCATTGCTTTTGTGGTGTTTAATGCAATTGAAGGCACGCAGCATGTAAGGAGAGTTTGCGTTGGAGTTCTCGGAAATTGCCTTTTGTTCATCAACAGGTGGCTATAAGAACAAGGTAACCCTGTCCATCAGTTTATGGCTTGCTCATGCAAACCATGTATCTGATTGTTGAACAACTTTGATAGCTGCGGTTTCTTGTCCACTGGCCTAGTCTCCAAGTCACGACGGGTATTTCTCCTTTTGTTAGACTGTTGCCTCGCGGCGCGTCACGCTTCTCATCATAATACTGAACCTTGCCTGAATCACTTGACGCTTCTGTCCGTGAAGATCAGCAAGCCAGTGTAATTCAAAAAAACAAAAAACTAAAAAACACTTCCACTTGTCAAAATGGAGTCATACACAAAACCAAGACCATCTCTCACGCTTTCCTCATCAGCCATGGACCTTGACACAGATCGAAGAACACCATCGCCGGTACCCTCACTAGGCTATGATGCTCTCAACACACCCACAGCCGAGATGCCCACGCCGCCAGCTTTTGCCTCAACGTTCTCGCTGCCCATAAATGCAGCCAAGAATATGTCCCTCGGTACCTCTGCTTCTCCAAGAATTGCAAACGACAACGACTTGGTGCCTTCTTCGCTGCCTCAAACCGAAACATGTGGAAGCGAGAGATCGGATATGTCTTGCATGGGAGGAACTCCCGACTTTCTCCTCCTGTACTGCTTCGACTTAGACAGAGCGGTAAACTTTTACTCGCGTTGCTTCGGCTGGAGGTTCTTTGGGGATGTGAACGCCCAACAGTCTGACGACCTATATATGAGGCAGTGGGGATCTTCACACTTTGACGTACAGCCCATGAACTTCTTCAACTCAAGCCAGAGCGGAGGATCTCGCATCACAGGAGCTTTGATGCAAGTGAGAGACACGGGAGACAGCCGTGCTCAGCTCGAATACAAGCGACAGGTGGCCATGGCACGCGGTGTAACACCAGCATGCCACATCCGAGTGGCTGATCTTGGTATTGCCGAGACGTTGATCGAAAATAACTACGGCGAGATCAAGCAGCTGCGATACGGCGTTCGACAATACATCATGGATATTGGAGAGTTTGTTGACCCTGAGGGAAACTTGATCGGGCTGGTATCTCTTCACCCGGAGAATGCCACTACTGCTATGTAATGTGGATTATCGAGTTGGATTGGAAATGGTTGTTGTGGAGGATAAAGGAATACCCGGTGGTTCATTTTCATTCTTCCGCTCATGCGAGCATCCAATGTTTTAGGGAACTGCCACGATTTGCTTATAGAGCTAGTGATGGCATCTGGAGTTTGGAGTTTGCGTCCGAAATATCATGGACACTTGGCGTTTTGTTGCAGAGAAGAAGAAGAAGAAGGGAGGGAGTGTTGATAACCCCATGCTTCTAGCCCGCTCACCTTAGCATTTAGTAACTAACTTGGAAGTGAATTAGAGTCCATAGCCGACCTCGGATCGGAAAGCAACCGGGTCGGAAATCTAGGGTACGCTCTGTAGTCACAACAATTACTACTAATACACATAATCACCAATGAATAAAACGGTGACTGAACCCCGAGATGTTCCTCCCCAAAAATCAGCAAGTTTTCCTAACAAAGCTAGCTCGTCGAGGTGAAAAGCCGGCCTGTTTGGCTGTCATGAGAAGCCCTGTTCCGTCATGACAAGTCAACTCCCGAAACGAATAGCCGGGAGGTTCGGAAAACCCATTACCCGCCCACTAAATTACAGCGCCAGACTGCCCTGCCCCGGACTTGGGCCCCCGCTGTGCTCGCTGTCCTGCCACTCATGATCACTTTATCCTCGGTCTCCACATGCAGAGATCGGGGAGATCCTCCACTTCGCTTCCGGTCAGAGGTGAAGGTCCTCTTGTACCGGGGCCACCCGGCAGCCGTTAGAGGAGAGCTTATGAGGGTGACCCGCCTAAATGTTCCTGTAAATGCTGTTTTGGTATCATACCGAATGCCGATTATCGCTTCCGAACTTTGGTCGCGGAATTGTATTCGAGCTTAGACGGAGGTCGATTTACGGCCAGAGCCGGCCTTAATAAACGGATATCCCCCGCCAACGGCCCGTCGACTTCTATCGTCATTGTCGGCTCAAGTTCTCCCTCATAACATCTCTTCTTAGAATTCTTGCTCTCTGATCTGTCTCTGGAAGAAAGAGCCCTGGCGCATGAAGCTCAATTGATCGTACAAATAAGCATATACCATAGCTACTCTCCTAACCGACAGCAGGGTTGTCGACACTGAAGCTATTCCCGACCTACTCATCCGTCCTCTCCAAACACACACATCATGTCTTCCTCAGCTTTCCGGTTACGGACCCTCCGAGCCTTTGCTCGCAATCCCACAAACGTAGGTCTCTTGGGCAGCTCAATGCACATCTCCGCTGTATACTGACAATTGTCAAGCCTAATGCCGTCCTCGCACGATCCTTCTCGGCAACCGCTCGCCGCGCCGAGATCAACAAGGTCTTCCCCTCTGCCAAGGAAGCTCTCAAGGACATGAAGCCCAACACAACCCTCCTCTGCGGTGGTTTCGGTCTCTGTGGTGTTCCTGACTCTCTTATTAACGAGGTTCTCGAGAAGCCTGAAATCAAGGGTCTCACAGCCGTGTCCAACAATGCTGGTACCGACAACTTTGGTCTCGGTAGACTTCTCAAGACTAAGCAAATCCGCAAGATGATTGCTAGCTACATTGGCGAGAACAAGACCTTTGAAAAGATGTACCTCACTGGTGAGGTCGAGCTTGAGCTGACCCCTCAGGGAACTCTCGCTGAGCGATGCGCCGCTGGTGGTAAGGGCGTGCCCGCCTTTTACACCCCTGCTGCCTTTGGCACAGTTGTTCAGACTGGTGATCTTCCTCTGCGCAACAAGGCCGACGGTTCTCCTGATGTCTACTCTTACCCCAAGGACGTCAAGGTGTTTAAGGGAAAGTCTTATCTTCTTGAGGAGAGCATTGACGGTGACTATGCCTTCGTCAAGGCCTACAAGGCTGACAAGCTTGGTAACTGCCAATTCCGTCTGGCTGCCCACAACTTCAACGGTGCCATGGGCCGCAATGCCAAGATGACCATTGTCGAAGCTGAGCACATCGTTGAGCCTGGCGAGATTCCTCCTGAGGCTGTCCACCTGCCCGGTATCTACGTCAAGCGCGTCATTCAGAGCACCGAGGAGAAGTCGATCGAGAAGTACACCTGGGCTAAGGACCCCAACGACCCCGAGGCTACCAAGGCCCTCGGCTCTGGTGACACAGCTGCCAAGCGTGAGCGCATCGTTCGTCGCGCTGCTAAGGAGTTCAAGAACGGCATGTACGCTAACCTGGGCATCGGCATGCCTATGCTTGCCCCTGGCTTTGTCGGTCCTGAGGTTGAGGTTCAGCTCCAGTCTGAGAACGGTATCCTTGGCCTAGGTCCCTATCCTCAAAAGGGCCAGGAGGATGCTGACCTGATCAACGCTGGCAAGGAGACCGTTACTCTCAAGCCCGGTGCTGCTGTCTTTGGCAGCGAGGAGAGCTTTGGTATGATTCGCAGCGGTCGTATCAACCTCACCATCCTTGGAGCTATGCAGGTCAGCGCCACTGGCGATCTTGCTAACTGGATGCTTCCCGGAAAGGTCAAGGGCTTCGGTGGTGCCATGGATCTTGTCAGCAACCCCAGTGAGACTAAGGTTGTAGTGACAATGGAGCACACAGACAAGAAAGGCAACCCCAAGATTGTCAAGCAGTGTGCATTCCCCCTGACTGGACGTGCTTGTGTGTCGAGAATCATTACTGAGCTGGTGAGCTTCCCCAAATCTTCTTCATGTCATCAGTTGATGAATGATATACTGACTCTCATCCTAGGGTGTGTTCGATGTCGACTTCGCCAACGGCCTTACCCTTATCGAGATCGCAGACGGTGTCACAGTCGACGAGGTCAAGAGCAAGACAGAGGCTCCCTTCCACGTCGCCGAGGATCTCAAGCCCATGCTATAGATGACGCAAATAAAAGAGAGGGAATGATATTACGATTGGATACCATAGCGCACGGTCATGTGAAAAGTATTTTGAAGAAGGATTACCCGGCTTTGAGATGACAAGCTCGCGGATTGGGAAGAAGGTCTAATGGCTTGAAGCCATTGCATCAGAGGGCGGCCGTTATAAGCCACTCTCTGAGCGGTTTCGCTTGTTCCCGTTGATGCAGGGAAAAAACAATAGGCTTGTTGAGACGGTGTTTCCGCGAGGGAAAACAGTTAAAGGATTTCAAGCGACAAACAATATAAAAAATTCAATATAACCCAATGAGAAGCTACATCTATCATACTTGATTATTTTTCTTTGGTTTATTATCATGCGCAAAGTCGGCTCCTTCAGTACAGGTAAGTTCTTGTCGGTGTTACAGAGGTAGTGAAACGCACCTCAGGGAGAAAGAAAACCTCTAACATTAAACCAGGTGTCAAAATAAACTGGTCTAGAGGCTTACTAAGATATACGCAAACTTACCTGAGTCTTTTTATCACTTAGACAGGATACACCAAGTTTTCCTGCCTCCCCTTAGTTGTAGTCTCACTCAACCTCGCCACTTTCTCAATTTCATTCAAATCAGTCATGTTCGAACCAGAATCTGGTCCAGCGTTTACGGAGTATCTCATGACCCGAGAGGCTCTTACGGCTGAGAGCAATGCTGACTGGAGCCGGCGCCGTCCATACCCTTCCTTTAAGCCTCGAGGCACAAAGGGACCTCGATCTTTGGTAGATATAGCTATCAGTGTTGTTGGCGATAATTTCGGCAAGATTCGCTCTATAACCCATCTCGAGTCATTGCCAAAAGCCATACTATGGCGCATTTGGAGGTATCTCGAAGCACGGTCAGTACGACAACCTGCGGATGGCGCGGAAAACATCTAGAGATCTGCGACTGATGCTGATACTGAGGTAGAGGAGTGTCTCTTCATGCTTGGAGGTACCTCTCCAAACTCCTCCTGGATGAAGGAGATGAGAAAAACCTTGGCCTGTACCGCTTTCGACAGCACATATGCCATCCTGGCAACAATCTCACCCGCTACACTCAACCTCTGACAGCACCGCCCTCGGACTTCATAACACACATAGTCATCGCTGGCGGTTGCACCTTTAATACCCATGATCTTCTAGGTCTGGCGGACATGCCTAATCTCGGCGTCCTCGAGATAATTCAGCCAACAGAGCGGACTGCATTCCCAAATATTTCGGACCGTCTTGTTCGGGGATGGTCTGAGAAACCAGTTCCATTCCCCTTACTTCGAGTATTGCGTATATGGGGAGATGAGACGACATCCAAGGCATCTCTGCAATGGGTGTCGAAATTCCCTTCTCTTGCCCTGTACGACGTTATTGGTGCAAGGGACGTGTGGGACGCCAGTCAGCTGGCAGCGCAAGAACACGGCTGGGAGCAGGCGGATGCACCGCCACATAGGTTGGGTGACTCACTGTTGCGCTATCTCATGCTCTTTGCGCCGCTAGAAGAAACCCGGGACAGGAACATGCGTGACCTCGCTGCAAGTATCGATAATGACTTGGTGTCGTTGTGCAGCGACTCGCGATGTGCAGTTAAATTCGTTCAGGATCGTCAGGCACCACTTCTTCTGAACTACCTGTGTGATACTGCAAAGGAGAATACGCCTTGGTGGGATATTGATGCTGCATCTCGAGAAGCTCGCACATGCCATGGAGTTGCATTCGAGGCTTGGGCATTTTGGCTTTACTCCTTTCTCGGTCAACTTTGTTCTGATCAAGATTTGGAAGCCCGTGGCGCCCTTCCCTACAAGGCTGTAGCAGGTCCCTTCATTCTACCCTCACGGCCGATTGCATGCCTCCACTTGGGTCACACTTCTCAACGTGGTGGTATTGATACCAGACCATCATATATTAGCCGGGGGCTATTCGCAACACGACAATTCACGTTTACACGACAATCTGCCATTCTGCCCAACGGGAAGAAGCCTACTACAATACCAAAGGGAGTCAACTTGGTGTGTTCGGAGAGGTCCGCACCTATGTTAGCAATAAGGAAGGCCAAGAGAAAACGGGTTATTGATGTTTTGGAGGACATGGGTCTCGGGCGTCCAAAGAATCTATGACATACAAGTCTTTTTCAGATCAGTGCTATAGTATGTTGACATAAGCTTTGATCTCTCTTCTTCAAACCTGAGAGTACGTTTCAACTGAGGAATTTATCCTCGGAGAAACCTTCTCACTCTAAGCTTAGACATTAAGAATAATTATCCAAAAGGTCAACTAGGTCTCGTCTAGGTTTGCCTAAGTTTACCTTAAGTCTTTTGATCGCTTGGGGTTTTAGGTTTCTTTGCCTCCTCTTGTTCATTTATTGGTTCACAAATATTCGCTCATTCAGTTACAACAATTGCCTTCCCTCTTGCTTTTGCACCCCTTCATGCATAAAGGTTGATAATGTCCTGGGTGAACGTGATTCGTTGATAGTCTAGAACACTGGTCAACGAACAAACTTCTTTTGTTCTGTCAAAGTGCCGCGAGCCATGTTCTGCCGTGATAAGTGACATTTTTGAAGTATATATAAGGAGACACTTCTTGAACATCTTCAGTATGGAAGTTTAATAAAAAAACACTTCAACTCACAAATTCAAATCATACCTCTGCGCTGTCTCCCATAAGTCTCTCGTGGTCTTACAACCTATATATTTCTTTGCTCCTCGTCTCGAAAGGGGCCTTTCTTGTAAAGTTCCCATATCAGAAGTACCACTTTCTGTAGAGAGCAGAAATGCCGGACTCTAACATGACCAGTCATGATGGCTCAGAAACATGCTTCGCTTTCCCTGACCCTCTCATTGCACTAACCTTCTTCAACAGCGACCTGACGGACTCTGTTCTACCGAGTGATGAGGGTCTCATCAGTGACGATGATGATTCTGATGATGAATTCTCCGTCCCTTCGGCCTATTTGACAACATTCCCTGTTGAGCAGCTTCTTTCACCACTGCACGAGTCTAGGAGTATCAGCATGTTGTCGATGGGCTCAGAACTCGATAGTAGCTCTCAGAATGGTCTATCTGACAGCAACTCAGATATTGACAAGACGGGAACCCCAGTTACATCTCCCGATCACGACTGCTTGTCCTCAGGCTCTTCTAGTTGTAGCTCTGAAAGCGACGACGACTCCGATGTTCTCGTGCCCCGTCGTCGTCGTCGTTCCCAGGAAGGCAATAGCCCAGATGAGCCACCTAGAACCTCTACGATCGTGTCACCAACGCAGAAACTTAACACGGAAACGCCTTGTGAGTCTGATTCGGATCTGCCGTCGTATCATGTCCACCAACTCGACTGGAAGCATCCAGTACATGCTGGTAGGCTCCGCGAGCGCAGTGAACAACATGACAGGGAGATCAAAGTACTTTTTTGGGACACGAACCACATATTCAGACCGACGGATATTCCTGGGAGCTCTCGGTACAGAAAAGAGCTGAGGGACTGGCGAAGATCACGCCGAGAATATACCATGAACAAACCAACTGCTCAGGAGCAAGCACATGATCAACGGCATCTACTGGCGTTGTCGAATCTTATTAAGAAAAGAAACAGATTCCTTGGCAAGAAACGCTAAGGGGAAGGCGTCATGTGAGTGGTGCAGAACACGAAACATGTAAGAATGCTTGGTGGCCCGGTGGTTGCTAAGTTTGGAGGTGTGGCTTGCATCAGAGAACCCTTTGTCTGTTGGTTATCCTAACGTATTTACCGAGATAGATATCGCAACTTTAAAGAACGGGAATATATTCAGTGTCAAATAACCAATATGAAATAAGGCCAGCATAAAAAGCTCATCTCCAACATATTAATGCATCGTATGACGGAGTAACGTGAATAATGGGGTTTGATGAATAACCTACCCTATACAGACACCAGCACGTTAACATTTCGAGATTGTCATGGCAAAACGCATGATTGATCTCGAACATGGACGTCGACCTTGGTAGCGCTCAGGAATTTCGAAAAACAAAGGACGAGTGCGGGAAGAGTCTTAGGATTACGCCTCGGTTGAATTTTGAAAGGTTTGCAGATTCTAGGAGGTACTACTGCAGCCTTTATCCTTCGCAGAGGGTATATTATATGGTCACTTTGTGAATATGAGGGCGGCACGAAGCAAGCATAGGTATGAAGCTACATATATGCCAGACAAGCGAGGAAGCATCCATCTGCTCGCACATCTGACTCACCTCAATCATGATTTCATATCCTAAAAAGATATGAAAGAGTATGTACCGCGTCAAAATTTCTCTCTCCCAACGTAGCAAAAGCTACAAACAGAACAGAGGGTAAGTGTCAGCGGTAATTCATCTTTCCTCCAGTTTCCCCTCCAAGTACCTCCATGGTGTAATGAAAGCCAGAGTGAATTTGAAGGATTCAGTTTTTTCTAGTAGGTTGAAGAAGAAAGGGAAAAAAAGAGACAAGAATGCGGCTCAGTCGATGTGGTTTTGTTTACCAGAGTGGGGCACCAAAAGCGGGAGCGGAAGATTGATGTGCCGAGAGCCACTGTAAGTAGGGTCCATCCATCTTAGGTATGGAAGTGCCTGAGAACTGGGTCTCGTGAATCAGATACACAGGAAGTAGGAGTCATTCCTAAAGTTTAGTGAGTAGATTTTAACTCAACTGAACCGAAGGCAAAACCTTGAATCATGGTTTCAGCCTGAGATCAAAGGATGAGTCAAGATCTCAAAACAAATTAGAGCTTTGTGTCGCGTGCACGACAGACGAGCAATTTGTTATGCATGCCCGCTGCAAGCACACTCTGCTGGCGGCACGAAACACGCCCCTCAGTGAGCTGATCAAAACACGACAAACAGGGGTTCTCTTATTCGTTCAGTTATTCCAGCGCCCAGCCGCCCAGCCCGTTCCTGAAAGTCTAGAACAACTGTTCGCAAGCTGCACTTAGACTTGATATAGTGAATCACTGCAAGCTCGATAGGGGTATCGTCATTTTATTTTAAGAGTTGAAGTATTGTACAACGGACACCTAAGGATTGAATCATACCAGGTCTTGCTTGTCTGGGTTCTGCTCGAGTTAATTAGGCTCCTGTGCGACGTAAAAGTCTCTTATTAGCCTTGATCTTTACGCCTATCACTTCGATCCATTCACGTTGATAAACTTCCGAGAGAAAAATTGTTTCATATTTTGACTCATACTCCACCTGCAGTGATTTGAAATTCGACTTGAAATCATATATAAGAGAAGCAAGGTCACTCAAAAGTTCCTGATCAACAGTCCGCCACTCCCTCTCATGCTTGTTCGTTTATCAGAGCTGCCGTCATTAGCTACCCCGCTACCCCGCCCTGCTGAACAAGTTTGACCAGCAAACAAACATTCATCTGTGAGACGGCGTGATAATCGACAACACAGAATATCCTGACCTCAACGATTTGAACAGGTCACAACACAGGAGTCTCGAGATAGACGTCCGCCACCCCAAAAAAGCTCACCTCCCTCATACCTATTTTATCACAGCTTACCCATCATGGCTCCTGGTGGTCCCCCTGGAGGAGGCTCGCGTGGCCGAGGAGGCAAGTTTCGAAAGCCCGCACGAGGAGGTATGTTGACTACAAGCACGAGCCCAATGACCGGACTGACAAATTCCCAGGTGGCAAGAAGTTTTCTCGCGATATTCGACCTCTCGATGCCGACGGAAATGAGGTTAGCATGTGGGCTGTCGACCCAAACAAGAAGGACGACGACAGCGATGAAGAAGAGTCTTCCGAAGAGGAATCTTCCGAAGAGGAAGAGGAAGAGGACAGTGGGGAAGAAGCTGGTGCTGGCACTTCTCAAGAACAAACCCAAGAGCAGTCACGCGAGGCTCGAAAGGCCGAGAAGAAAGCTCGAAAGGAGGCTGCCATAGCCAGACAGAAGGCAAAGACAGTCGAGGTTGGTGATCTGCCATCAAGCGACGAGGACGAGAGCGAAAGCGACGAGGATGACGATATGCCTGCAAACCCCAACCACTCCAAGAAGGCCCGCAAGCAAGCGGTGTCCTCTGGTGTTGACGAGATCACAGATGGTGTCGAGAACCTGCAAGCAGCACCAAGCCGACGCGAGCGTGAAGCTCTTGAGGCTGCAGCTGCTAAGGAGAGGCACATGCGATTGACAGCTCAGGGCAAGACGGACGAGTCCCGGGCCGATCTGGAGCGTCTCAAGGAGATCCGCGAGCGACGTGCTCTTGATGCTGCGCGCAGACAAGTGAGTTACCCACATAGCCGGTGTTCTGTCCGCAGGGTGGCCTTTCTAACATAATATCAGGCTGAGCGTGAAGAAAGAGAGGAGCAAGAAAAGATCAAGAAGGCCGAGTTCGAGGCCAAGGAGGCCCGTCGGCGAGAAGCTGCCGCTGGAAAGAAGGGCAAGAAGAAATAAAGGCCACCGAAAACATGACATACGACCTCTCATGAAAGCATTTGATTTGGTTATTGCTTAGGTACTATCTAGACTCAACTTGTTCAAAATATTGAACAGAAAGGCGTAAAGTTATACAAGTCTAAACGTGCTCTTCTAGCCCATGTTCCAAGTCTCTCACATGAGATCTTAAGAACGAACTACTAGTTGCAATCTGTGAATCTCATCAAGGTATGGAAATCTGAGAGATTAGGGTGAAATGAGGACGGCACAGACTTCGATGATAAGTGAAGATTTATGGCACTTAGATTACTTGTTACCATCATCGAAACTCGTCCAGACTCCAGCCAGGCTTAAGGAAGCCCAAAGTTTCGTATCAGATGGCACAGACACCTATTACGAACGAAAGGGAGCCGAGTAGGTACTTAAGCAGTGTCTGTATTTTAGTGACATATAATTTGATTGAAGCCATTGGTGATCCTCTTGGATTCACACACATGATGTAAGTGTCTTGGCCTCCAGCCATCTACCGAAAGCCGCAGAGTCCTATGCTGCCTGGATTACTAATGAACTCCGGAGCGACAGATCGTATAAGCGCCCCTCCATCGAGGAGTTTCAAATTTAGAATATTCTTGGTCGTGACATGATTTGCGATCGATTCATACAACGCTTGATGGGGCTCAGAGGACCCTGAATATGGCGTTGGTACGTAACTTGGCCTGAATGCGCTAGGCAGTACCTACTTAGGTAGGTAGGTAGGTAAGTGCAGGGGGTGGATCGACTGTCTTGAATGGGCCTTCCCCACACAAAGCCGGTCATTCTTTAGCGGGTACCTCAGGAAAAAAATTACAACGATCCTCCCCGAAAAACTGAAGTAGCAAATCGCCATCCAAGCTTTCTTTTCCAACCTCTTTTTTATTATCGAGGACATTTCGTCAGCACGATTCTCCATAGCTGACTTTCTCTAATACTGGAGTTACGACGGTATCACCGATATCCTCCTACCTTTTCAATCACCAGTTAATATGACAGAGTCTGAGCTGCAGGTCCGTTCTTCTACATGCCCTCCAGCCCCGCCTGTGATGGGACAAATCTTTGAATCATGGCGATAGGGAACCCTGAAGCTGACTGTTTACGCTTTAGGATTACCTGTCCGGCCAACGCGGAGCCTTCGAGGGCATCCTTGGTCTCATCCCAGCCAAGATGTACTATGAACAAGACAACAGTGTACGTGAATCCAATGCCTTATCAGGTAAAGGCCAGCCATATCACCGCCTGGAACAAACCCATCACATGCCTCAGAATATATCATATGCATCGCAATGAACCAGAACGAGGCTAATAAAAATGCAGGATCAATGGAGCAAGAAGAAGCAGACAAAACAACAGGCTGCCGATGCGCGACGCGGAAAGCTGGATCCCGACAGCGAGCGGAATCGAAATGCCAAGGAAGTCTTAGATGAACGGGCCAAGAACAAGCGAAAGCTGCGTGAGATGGAGAAGCATGACGATACTGATAACGAAGATGATTGGGAAGACCAGGAGCCCGTCCCTGGCGTAGAGACGGAGAAGCCTGGCGAGGGCCTCAAGGTCAAGACAGCGGAGACCAACAAGAAGAAGAAGAGGCTCAACGACTCGACAGAGATAGAGACTCAGGATGTTTCAGAGACCAACAAGAAGCAGAAGCTCAACGACAAGGGAGAGACAGAAGCTAGGGACACAACTGAGACATCTTCCAAGATGTCGAAAAGGGAAGAGAAGAGGGCGGCCAAGAAGGAAATGAAGAAGGAGAAGAAGGCAGAGAAGAAGGCCAACAAGACAAAGACTACTGAAGCCGAGAAAAAGGATGCACCAACTCCGACACCAAAGGCTCAGAAGCAAGCCGCGAAGAAGCAAAAAGTAGTCGAGGAGGAGGAAGAGACAACTGTCCACGGTGACGACGAGGTTCTACCTATGGACATCTCGGGTCTGGAGAACGAGGATGAGGTCACCGCCAACTCAAGCAATGAATCCGAGCCACATTCTCCTACCTTTGACACCAACGATTCTACGACAACTCCTGCTGAGATAACCGCCGAGCCTGCCAGCACGACTACCTCCACCTCATCCACTATTCCTCCTTCGGAGAAACCTAAGTCTATCAAGCTCCCTGCCGACACCTCTGCGATCCGAGCACGTCTCGCTGCCAAAATTGAAGCGCTTCGTGCCGCCCGAAAAGCTGACGGACCCGATGGCAAGCCAATTCGTACACGCCAAGAGCTCATTGAGTCGAGAAGAAAGAAGCAAGAGGCTCGAAAAGCCCACAAGCAGGAGATGCGCAAGCAGGCCAAGCTGGAAGAGCAACGAAAGCGTGAGGAGGCTTTGGCATCTAGCTCACCAGGTGTTATGAGCCCCGCGGTTGAACTCGACGAGACTGCTAGCAACTTCACATTTGGTCGTGTCGCTTTTGGCGATGGCGCTCAGCTCTCACGCGATCTCGGCCACGTGCTGAGCCAAGGCAAGAAGAAGGGGCCGTCTGACCCCAAGACAGCCCTCATCAAGGTCCAAAACCAGAAAAAGCGTCTTCAGGAGCTTGAACCTGAGAAGCGTGCTGATATCGCCGAGAAAGATATCTGGCTGACAGCCCGTCGCCGTGCCGAGGGTGAGAAGATCCGCGACGATGAGGCTCTCTTGAAGCGTGCCGTGAAGCGAAAGGAGGCCGCCAAGAAGAAGAGTGAGAAGGCCTGGCGCGAACGATCTGACGGCGTCAAGATGGCTCAAAAGGACCGTCAACGCAAACGTGAGGATAATTTGCGTCAGAGACGGGATGATAAGCTGCTCGGTAAGGCGGGCAAGAAGAAGAAGAAGGGTGGAGCCGCCGGAGGCAAGAAGAAGAGTCGTCCTGGTTTCGAGGGAAGCCTGGGCGTTGGGGGCAAGAAGAAGTAAACCGAAGAAGTTATGACGCGGTGAGAGGGGGGTGGAAGATGAAGAGAAAGGCTGGTTGAGTTTTTACCCTTCGATTTATTCAAGATACACGGCGCTGGCGGAGTTATGGTCGGCAAAAAGGAGAGGAGCATGAAAAACATCTTCAGGACTGAGCTCGGCGATGCATGTACTACCTTAGTTGATATAATCCATCACTATACGAAAGCAGAGAGCGTGTCTCGAAGGTGCTGAAGCCTGTTCATGCTTCAAGTCCCAGTAGTGCAAGTTCCCCATGTTGTCTTCAAAAGTTGTAGTATTTTTGCGTTGAGTGTGTAGATCCAGGTCGTTCACTCATACTTAAACTATTTCAGGTCCATCACCAGATGCGATAGCAAATATCTCGAGGCCCCAAGTTTTCATAATAGACAAACGCCCATGCAAGGTGGCTTAAACGTTGTCTGTGACATTTTCTTTTTCATTACAATGGAGATACCAGACCCAAGTCGATGACAAAACAACAACGGCTACCTTTCACACACCGAACGACCTATGGATTTCGCCCCCTTTCCCTAGCCTTCCAAGAAACACATCGACAGAACACACACACACACACACACACACACACACACACACACACACACACATACACAACAAAGCCATGGTCAGAGTCAGAGTCAGAGTCATAGTCATCCCGTCCACCTCCTTTTTTGTTTCCCAAAAGTAAAAAGGAAGAATAGATAAGCCCCGACAAAAATAAAAAGGACATTAAAAGAAGAAGTTTGGGTGGGTTATGGAGAGTCCTACCACCGACACCACTTGTTCAAGCGCCCAACAAAAATAAAACTTTGCTCTCAGTTGATCGATTGGCCAAGCTCCCAAGTTCCTCATGTCTTAAACCCAGCTGCAACCCAGTTCAATTGAGCAGCAGGCAAGTTCCAAATTTCCGGAATTGCTCCATATAGTAGCGGTGGTGTGTAAAGACTCGTTCTGGTTTCATCTGGGCGAAGGGAGCCATGAGACTGTTGTCGTCAAAGTCATTTCGTGAGAATGGGTTTATCAGGGATTAGGATCGGATAGTTGGAATAAGAGATTTCGAGGGAGGGAGCTTGGCCCGGTCGGGAGCTGGGTAGTTGAACGAAGGTGTAGCCAAACGTCACGTTCGGCAGTGGTGGACACGCATGAAGCTTGCACGAGTACGTCTATAGGAGAGAGTCGAGTCTAGTGAAGACACTCAAGCAAGCTGCAACCACCTCAAGCTGGAGCTCCTTGTCCTTGCCGCTATTGACCTCCTGTAGCTACTGTCAGTTATGGAAGTCTCGCGTGCATCACACATTACCCACCTCGTTAATGAGTTGAGGCAAGTTGGCACCAATGCCGTTCTGTGTGGCCTTCTTGCCGAAAGGCCATTGGCTGTAGTCGGCGAGTAAATCATCAGTCTGCGCAAAAGCCCGTTCCCTTGCCTCGTGGCCAAGGGATGCGAGGGCGTTCTCGAGGACATTAGCGGCGTAGGCGGCGCAAACCATGGCGATGCTGCGCATATAACGGAATTCGAGCGACTCGGGGAGGAATTGGCTACCATTGAGGACGACGGTCCGTTGGGTAAGGATGTTGCGAACCCGGCGGCGGATCTCCTCCTTAGCACCACCGTCGGCGACGGGATGAGTTGCCATGTCGAAAAGGAGAAAATTGCGCTTCTCGGTACGGAGGATGCCCTTGTCGACCAGGCCCTTTGCGAGCCGTTCTCGAACCTGCTTGAGCTGGTATCCGATCTTCATCAAGTTCCAGGTTTCGCCTGTGATTCGCGAGGCAGTCAGCGACGGTTGCTTAGGTATTGGGAGAATGGTGGGTAGGGTAATTTACCGCTCATCAAGTCAATCCAGGTTGCGACGCTCATCTTTTCGCTCTGCTTCATCATCTTGAGAGCCTCGTCGAGAAGAACCTCGCCAGTAAGGGTGTCGTCTATGACCTCGATGTTGCGGTCTGCGAGGGGGAATCGGCGTCTTGAAGCATCCTTCTCCATTGCAATGCGACCACGGAAGGCCAGTTCGATGACAATGCATCCTCGAAGGGCGTAAGAGATGTTGTCGTTCCAGAAAGAGAGGTAGCCCTGTGAGCATTTGAGAGTCAGAGGTGTTGTTCCCTTGAGCACGAAGGGCACGTGTATGAGCACGAGTGGCAGCCTACCTGCTTATCCTTGAGGCCAAGTAGCAAGACCTCCTCCATGAGGGTGAGCTTTGGCTGCTTGCTCCGCTCGGCGCTCTCACTGATGTCGCGAGGGTCGAATGCGATCTTGTGGCCGTTTTCTGTGCTCTCGTAGCTCGTCTCGGGTCCGTTGTCCCTGGCGCTTGGTGTGCTCGTTCTAGGGGCAGTGCCGTTGCTGGAATCGCCCTCAGCCGCAGGTCCTGCGCCGCCCGCACCGCGGCGTCGCGTCAATCCCGAGGACATTTCGAGTAGATGGAGATGATTAGTGTTGGTGCTGGGAGGGAAAACACGGAGACGCAGGTGGAGGAGAGGGAGCGACAGCAAAGTCGATTTCCGGAGTCGAGATGAGGTTGAAGGGGTAGTTTGATGGATGTCCTGTCCTGGAACTTTGATTGACTGGGCTGAGCCTGAACGGGGCTAGTTGCGCGTTCAGACTTAGGGGTTTGGGACTGGGGCCCGCGGGCTACTCTTGATAAGTGAATGAGCTCCCCAAGTTACAGGCGTCTCATTAGCTGTTGGAGCCAATAGATCGCTGAGCCGTTGGGGGACGGAATGTCCTTGCATGGGGGGTATAGGACCAACTATTGATGCTATCGATATGGGCTGATTCTCCCTTGTTTCCCCTTCTTTTTGGTTGACTTTTTGATTTAAAACGAAGGCCCAATGCCATCCAGAAGATACTGATAAACGACCTGGCTTCTTTTGCTTCAGAAGCTAAAGCAGGGGGAGTTGACCATCCATCAGCCGACGATGATCCGTCTTGTGAGACAGTTGAGTGGCTCGGACATATGAACGAAAAGCAGCAGACAATACAGACGCTCTACACAAGAGACTTTACAACCGATAATTGATTTTTGGAGGATTGGTTTAATTAAGCATACGAAAAAGAGGAATGAATCTCTCCCACCTCGGTAAGGTTGGAGGCATAAAAGGGAGCTTATACGAGGTCTCTAAAGTGTAAGGGGGAAAAACCACGTAGCTGTGCCATTTCCCAACGAGTGCCATCGAATGGCTGTTTTATGATAGTATGCTGACTTCAGTAATAACTCCCTTTCAATACAATATTTTCTATTTGAAAGATTGAGTGGAAAGGCGCATTCAAGAATTGCATGAAAGGATGCCCAAAGGATCGACCCAGCTTACACGGCCAACCATAAGCTCGCGAGGCTTCCTGGTGCTTGTCCAACCCAATAACCAAACAGCTCATCAATGTTACAGCAAGGATGATTTTTTCCTGTCAGCATTCCCCATACTAAGTATGTATATTAGCTTCGTCATTGGGATGTAGCCAATGAAACTCGTGTTCTGAAGCCAACTTCCCTCCTCTGCTTCCGTCTGCCATCGTCCAATTCTTCCTATTCAGGCTCTATAGCAAGTATAGAAAGAAACTTGTTTCACCGCTCTATGTCCGGTTCCCGTCCTGTTGCACTCCTACTCTGCTAGGATTCTCCGCACGTGAAACCGTGGAAGTCCACCTTCAACACTAACATGTGGCGTTAGTCAGCCAGACACGACACGTAACTCCACCGCACACTTCAACTACACTTCATCCTCTAACAATACCCTTGGCTTTCGATGGCTACCTTAACGCCGCATGGACAAGAAGCTCAATCGAGGCTGCACATCCTCAACCATGCACTAACAAAGGCATGGTTGTTTCCCTTAGTTCGCATCCCTAATTGTGACAGACTTGGACGCAACGCATCAACTCCAAACCAGGCAGCGGCGAAAATCTCTTTATTAAACGACCATACACAACTGGAGTGTAAACACAACATTTCACAGAACGCAAACCTACATCAGAACCTCAAGTTTGTGTTGGTAAACTGTTGTCCTTGGTTACCTTCTCGGCCGACCCCTCCTGAAGTCAGGGGTGCTTCTTTATATGAACGAAGATCAGTTCGCATGCCATGCGTCTGTGTTACTCTGTTCAACAGTTTGATCAGATGGAACTGGTTTTGGCTGTCAATTATGCAAGCATTGCGATAAAATCGAGCCGCATCGACCTTGTGAGCGGATATTGCACAATCGGCATTTGGCATATATCAAAGTGGTTGTTGGTTGATCACATGGCTCACTACCACCAAACTTTGATATGATCTACGAGGACGCAAATATCCCTTCTCCTTTAAGCATGTGACACATTCACTGCTGAGCCATGCACATTGCTGTCTGGTGTGGTGATTTTGACTTTGTGTTCACCACAGTGGAAGCTCAGCGTGAATCAGACAGCTGCCTGCCAGCTGCACCCCGCGCCTACCACCATCACCACAGCACATACCTTCATTAACGATCATAACAGAGTCTCTTTCAACAAGCGGGGGGCCTCTGGGGGTGACTTGGCGGAGTGGTCGTCCACAGGAGCTCTGGGTACGCCTAGAGCTCCTGAGTTCGAACTACACCCGCCGGGTCACCTTACAAACCCCCCTCAGAGACTCTGTATGGCCCCTGGCACCCCTAGGATGGGGACGCCCGGACTAGGGAAGCAACGAGGCCATAAGTGTGAGCAAAGAAGTACCCAAGCGAAAGCAGGGCGCGCAGTAGATCCACCGCTATAGAGTTGGATGCTGGGCGTGTAAGTATGTAAGTAGTTAAATGATAAGAATTATTCTTTTTGACTACTTCGTTTATATTTTTGGAATTTATATAAGAGTAAGAAGCGTTATGTCAATGAATATATGTCCTCCTTAAAAATCATATTCCGACGCTCTTCTTCCAAAGTTCATCGAAGTCGATGTTCTCATTCTCAAACAGCTCCCTGATTCTCTTGGCTGCTGCCTCTTGCTCCTTTGGACCAAATCCGCCTGGCTGTGTCGCTT